GGCGCGAATAGGACACCGGAAACAAAGCTCCCCACAGGAGTTTCCGCACCGGAAGTAGCATATGCTAACGTGCACATAGTCAATACTATCTTTTAAATCAATGTACACGAAGAGTCTTTTGAGATGTTGTTTCTATTAAAATTGGAATACCAAGTCTTTCCCATCACCTCAAATACCTAATCCAGTTTACCTGTGATTTTTTTTCTTTCTTTCTTGTTTTGGTTTTGACCAGAGCTGTAGTTACTTTGTTAGCTCAAAGTTTTCTTTGAGTTCTCACTGTTTTCCTCCTGTCGTCCTCAAACGTATACCAGTGTCACAGCATTTATCAAAGGCATTTGAAGGAGCAATGTTTTGCCTACAGCCAAAAAGTGAGAAGCATGTGATTGACTTCTGTTCCAAATATACTTGTGTACCCCTATGTGCCATGGGCAGGTGTTGTGCTCATTGATTGGTTGAGAAGAGGGCAGTGTCCTTTCCCGCCCACCCTCTGTTTTTAGCTCAGCCGTTACACGCCACATCATGTGAACGCTTCGGAAGCTCTCTGCAGTTTGTCACTTTTTTTTATCCCAGGAAAATGACGTTTGTTTTCCTCTAGCAGCTTATAAGGGCAAATTCTTCCATGCCTTACTTATTTTAACATTTTCCACTGATACCAGATGTACTTATTTCCTTTTTAGTTTCAGCCCTGTTTATTTTGGCAACCGGATTTTGGTGTAATCGCACAGAATTGAAATACCTAGGTGACCAGGTCACAACAACCTAGAAAGGCAACTCAGAAGTGTCAAGGTCAGACAGAGGACTTTCTGACTAGCGGTGGTGGTACTCTAACCTGACATGGCAGATGGTTTATTACACAGATCCATCTGGAATATTGTCCTTGTAAAGTGTTTGGAAAAGCACTAGCACTCTCAAAAACACTTGGCACATGATTGGATAAACCATCTGCTTATCACCATCAACTGCAAACTAACTTCAGCTGGTCTGATCAAGAGACTAGGGGTGGGGGGGTGGAGCGTCCTGCCAGAGATGAAGAGCTAAACGCATTCTGGGGAAGTTTGAAACCCAAGTAAGGAGTCATAGCTTTACAGTTAAACAATTCATAACATCTTCGCATGGAAAATGTGCACGTTTTAATCACTCACAGGTTGCCACTTTCAAAATAAGAATAAAATAGAAATACCTGGCCTTCATTTAGCTGCAGATTTATTGAGTACTAGCTCCTTGTGCATACGTTTGGTCTAAACCTGCTTGTTTGGCTATAAACTCATAAAGTAAAGCCTGGATTGTGGATTGTCTTGTGATCATAATCTCCAAATCCAGTTTCTTCTCCAGATATTCAGTTCTCTACTGTTAATGTGTCTGCTTACCAGTCATAGAGTTCTTTTTCTTCTACATTAATTCCTAACACAAGCCAACACAAGTTTCCTTGAATAAATTGCTGTAAGAGGGTGAAGTAATATAATCAGATCATAATTTCCATAGCCTTGCTGTGTTCTTGAATTGACGAAAACCTGCCAGAGTCTGTTTGTTTAGCCCCTGAGGGATTATATCTGGCATCACAGCTGCTCCTGAGGCCATGTGATGTGTCACTGTTCTATTTGTGAGCGAGACACCTGAATGTTTTGTACACTAAGAGGCATCTGTGTCATATGTCTCAGCGGTGCTTGTAAACGTCTCCCCCAACTCTGTTCTTCTGAAACTGATTCTGGATCTAAAGAGAGAAGTTGCAACTTGGAACTAAAAGCAGAGCAGCTGAGTTCATCAGTAAAGGTAGAAGTTCTTGCTCTGCACTGTGTTGTAAAAGTGAGCACACGTCAGTATTGTTTGGCAGGTCTATAGCCGTCTCTGATGTGATGTTTTAAAAGGGACTTTAAGATTGAGCAATCCATTGCCAAGAATTGCCGTAAACGCTGGTCCGACATGATTGGGAGCATCGTGGTTTGACTTAACTGTTTTTAAATGCATACAACTGTCATTACTGTTGATTCTGCGTTATTTCACTTATTGCTCATGTTAATTACTTGGCGATTGTGTAATCTGTGTCGTGAACCTCCTACTGCTTGTGCAAACGTACTGATAAAAAAGCTCAAATTGATTTGTAATGCGCTTTCCATTGTAAACAGAAGCATGAAATGTTGATAACAGTAAATGTAGAGAACAGAAAATGTGATTGAAGTCCAATCTACTTATCCAGTGCAGACAATACAAATCATTGGGTCATACTTTCTCTGTTGAACACAGCATTCATTTATGCTGCAATGTGTAGCTTTGTTTGACATCTTCAGAATAAATGCTGATGCAGTGTAATGAAATTTTGATTTGGTGATGTGACTATACAAATCAAGAAAGCTGATATACAGTAAATCCTACGTGATCAAAACTTGTTTCGAGTAGAAATAACCTGAGAAATGTGCTAAGGAGCAAGATCGGTGGGTTAGCAAGTTAGGCTGGAAGAGCTTCATTGACACTGTGTGTTTGCGCACGTGGGTGTGTGGGTGTGTGGTTTTTTTTGTGTGTGGGGGTTTTTTTTTTTAAGGCAGGGGGAGGGGGTCTTTCTGTCCTTTGATATGCAGTATATTTTGTGTATAGCAGGGATGTCAAAATCATTTTATATTGTGGGCCACATCCAGCCAGACCACATGATAAATGTGTAAAATTACCCCAAAAATCCTGGTAGTTAATTGCCTTGACTGTCCATTTAATTATAGAATGTAAAGTTTTCATTAACATGTATACATTTTATTTATTTATTTATTTATTACACTGTGAAATCAATGTAAAAAACAAACAAACCAAAAAACAAAAACATTTCTATAGTAAATAATGGAAAAATCAGGAGCTTTTTTTTGGTCATTTGATTGTTTATCTATTACTTAATTTGGTGGTACTTAGTTTGATGTTGTATGAATGGAAAAGGTGGGGTGGGGTCTTTAACAATAGGAAAAGCTTTAAAACATATTAAAATCCATGTAAAAATCTATTTGCTCCTTAACATTTTCCAAAGCTGTTCAGTGGGCCTGATTGGAGTGTTTGCTGGACTGATTCTGGACCCTGGGCCGACACTGCTGTGTAGTGGTAGACATCTTTGGCTAACAAGTGAACAGGGAAAGTTCCCAGTTCGATTCTGGGAGGAGAAATTGAATCCCCTTAGGATCGTGTCTGGAAGGGCATCTGTTGTAAAAACTCTGCAAAATTAAACAGAGTTACCTGTAGAGGCAACCCCTTATGAAAAAGGGAGCAGCCAAACAGCTGTTTCTGCTTCTGCTATTTCTTCTAGTATGCTTTAAGAGCTTCATAGATTCTATACTTTAGTACAACTGAATAAATCCCAGATCTAAAGTTTCGGAAGTGCAGCCTGTACAATCACGCTGTCACTGGAATTTTCATGCATTCAGCCATTTGTTTGGTCTTTTTATGTTATTTATCAGTAAGAATATACAGTCAGTAACATTAATTTCACTTTGATCTGCCAACAAACTTTAGTGAATTTCAATTTTAGTCTCCTGTATTAAGCTATGGAAGAGTGTCATTAACAGGAAAGAGCAAAGAGGCTGAGCCTTTGTACAGATGATGAGTTCAGGTGGAGTGAAAGAAAACGTTTTTCTTACTTTCAAACAAGCTCATTAAAACCTTTACTAGGTAAAAGTTGTTAGTAGGGCTGTTCGATATAACGATATATATCGGATGACGATATAAAAACGTCTATCATTTCATTTTACGCAATCGTTTGTTCCGTGGTGTCGCAAAATAAACTGTTTACGGCAATATTTTTTCATGGTTTTGATGGTCACTGTAGTGGCTATATTAATTTCTTATAGTTCTCTATTCTCTTATATTTTATATAACCACACTACGGATGGACAAGCGCCTGTTTTTATGCGTTGTGGTTAGCAACAATGACGGTAACAGCATCGTGTGTCCGCTTGTTTATGTTCCACATAAAGCTTTCACAATAAACCTCAAGATCCTGTTGAGACTTTTCAAAATAAACGGAATCACGTAAAAGAGCATGTTTATTATTATTTACGGATGAGAATTAAAAAAGAGTCGTCAGGTTCTAAAAAATAAACCTTAGAGTCAAACGTTAGAACAGGCTTTTTCCCGCAGCACGCCGTGTAATAAATACAAAGAAAATGGCGGCCTTTACAACTAAAAATGTATAGTTTCATGCATCGGTTAAAACACTCGACTCCACCTACATGACACACAGCTGAAAACGCTTCCCGCAAGACGAGTTGCCCGAGATTCACAGAATTTACAGAAAATGTTACATTTTTGTGATTTATATCATTATCGGGATGATAAAATTCTTATATCGGGATATGAGATTTTGGTCGTATCGCACAGCCCTAGTTGTTAGGTTGCATTAACATCAATTATTGTTATGTACACCATTAGAATGTCAGTTTTCTGCTGCAGGAAACATTGCAGCAGTGCAATGTTGTTATGCTTGCTTTTCCTCATTGCAGCCACCACAACTGCTTTAAAGGCGTACAGACACACGTACTCACTCATTCACTACCACATTCCACACGTGTTACCACACGTGCAAAAACACTTCAACACGCAACAAATTTTTCTCGTCTAGAAGATGCAATAATGCCTGAACATTTTTTGTGCTTCTTGCTAATGTAAGAAAGCCTTCGAAGAACACCGAGTAAAGGCTGTTTTATTGTGTGCCGTAGTTCAGGTTGCAAGCATGCCTTGATGTAACTGTACTTGTGATTATTTATTAATTTATTTTTGCATTTAAAAAATGTTTTCTGTTAAAATTTAGATTTTAATATGGCACATAAATACAATTAAACGATTTAGTTATTTAGGCATTACAATTACTAAAATTCCTACAATTTAAAAGACCTGTTTTTATTTATTTATTTTTTGTCTTTTTGTATCTATTTTTGTTCATTAATAAGCAAAAGTATTTGTTATCCAATTAACTAATGGATGACAATACTGATAACTGTAGTCCTACAGTAATGGCAAGAATTATGGGATAGGTTTTTTTTCTTTTCAGACTAATAACTTTATAGTTTCTTGTGTTGTAAACATACATGTTATACGTGTTACATTTAAACCAAATGTTTTTTGGATTTAGATCGTCTTCATTTGCTTATTGACAGTTGCGTAGTCTTTCTTATTTTGTCCTTATTTCTGTTCTGCTTTATCAACAGGAATCTATTGACGAAATTCTCCAAACTGTAAACCAAGATGATTCTGTCTTCACTGAAAGGCATTGGGAAGAAACTTCTGAGAGTGAAGGTTGTGGACAGTAGCATAGAGGAGTCCCGCTTGGCTCGATGTCTTAACACGTTTGACCTTGTGGCCCTGGGCGTCGGCAGCACACTCGGTGCTGGCGTCTACGTGCTCGCTGGTGCCGTAGCCCGAGAAAATTCAGGACCCGCCATTGTCATCTCCTTCCTCATCGCTGCCATGGCTTCAGTCTTGGCTGGTCTGTGCTACGCCGAGTTTGGAGCGCGTGTTCCCAAAACTGGCTCGGCTTACCTCTACAGCTATGTTACGGTTGGAGAAGTATGGGCATTTATCACCGGCTGGAACCTCATTCTCGCTTATGTCATTGGTGAGACGCTTTAAATAAAGAGGGAGTTCCCTGCTACTCTTGATTCTTGTTAAGTTTACATACCGGATACTGTTTGCACAGGAACTTCGAGCGTGGCCCGGGCATGGAGCGCAACCTTTGATGAGCTTATTGGAAGGAAGATTGAGCTGATTTGCAGACAATACATGACCATGAACGCCCCGGGAGTCTTGGCAGAATATCCAGACATATTTGCTGTCGTAATCATAATCGTTCTGACAGGTCAGAAATGGATGCATCTCTCGCTTGTTTTGTCTATTGCTTCAGATTATGTTCTTTAATCGTTCATGTTTTTACTGCTTGCAGGGCTGCTTGTATTTGGTGTAAAAGAGTCAGCCATGGTAAACAAAGTGTTTACCTGCATCAATGTACTGGTGCTGGTGTTTGTAGTCATCTCTGGCTTAGTTAAAGGAAACAAAGAAAACTGGAACCTGAACCCTGAAAAGATCCTTAATGCCACCAGAAACTCTACTTCTAAGTGCGTTTACTAAATATCTTCTTCCCAAATGTCTATATCCCTAATGATACATCAGAGGTTTTTATTAAATGAGTAAATATTTTCTGTCTGTTATTTCTAGTGTGTCCGATTTCATTCCAAATGAGGATGTTCTCGGTGCTGGTGGTTTCATGCCCTTCGGTTGGACTGGAGTCCTTTCTGGTGCAGCAACCTGTTTTTATGCCTTCATAGGGTTTGACTGCATTGCCACTACAGGTGAGGGAGAATATATTAAATTGGTGACTCATAAAGGAGCTATGTTCTCTTAACATGCTGGATCATGTTCCCTCCCCAGGAGAAGAAGTAAAGAATCCACAGAGGGCCATTCCTGTTGGCATTGTGGCCTCTCTCCTCATTTGCTTTGTGGCATACTTTGGTGTATCTGCAGCCCTCACTGTGATGATGCCTTACTACTTGCTGGACAAGAGCAGCCCTCTTCCTGTGGCTTTTAAGTATGTGGGCTGGGAGGGAGCCACTTACGCAGTGGCCATTGGCTCTTTATGTGCACTGTCGACTAGGTAAGTGTGTTTCCTGCTGCCTCTCAGCATGAGCATTCATGGAGGACCTGTAATTATTTAGCACGCTTTTTTTTTTTTAGGAATGAATAATTCACGTCTTTTACACTTTCTATAATTTTATTATTGTCTTTTTTGCTTAGTCTAAGATTAACTAGATCTGAGATTGAATATGCAAATAAGTGGCAGAAACCATCAAAGGTATTATCTTATGGACCGAGTTGCAGAATGAATATTGATGTTAATGAAATGCATTTGCACAAGTAATATTTGATTTATTGAAAGATGCCCTGTGGTGTTTTCCTGTAACAAAAATATATTGTATACGTAGTTTTACTCACTAAAATTCATTGTGTTTATTCTTGATGTCTTACAATTATATTTGCTTATAAAACATTAAAAGCACAAAGCATATACGTGTTAAAACAAGCCTGCAGTGGGACGTGGTTGGGCTGTATTTTTGATAAGCTGTGCCACCTGCCGATTAACTGAGTAGTGCATCTGTGTTGAAGCAAAGTCCCACACAATAAAATATTATTACATCAAGCTAATAGCAGGTAACTCCACAGGGTGACTTTAATTCAGCTTCAAATACTTTGGGAGAAAATTTTAATCTCAAGAATAATTTCCTAGAAATATTATGATGTATTGTGGATTTTTGCTTATGTCTTAATTATATATTGTTTCATGGATTTAAAAAAAACATTTACTAACTGTCTTTATCCGTACTAATTGGCACGCTCGTTCTTAGGTAGTAGTTTGGCTATTATTAAAGAGCAGCATGTTTGCTAATTTGCTAAACTTGACACTGAAATGAAAGGCCTGAAATAAAAGTGTAGGGAGCCTGAAGTTCAGTGCCAATGACACCTGTGGGATGAACTGCATTAACAACAATGACCGAACGTCACACTCCACATCACTGAAACTGAATGAGAATGAGAGTAAATCTCTCAGCTGGCTCAGCAATCACGTAGACCTACAGTTTGAATGCATTTACATTAGATCCACTCACTTTTTTTGTTTTTTGTTTTAATCTTTTGAAACTTGTTATACATTTTGTGTGGATTGACTCGCATGGCATGTTTTTCTTTTTCTCCTGTGTACTAGTTTACTAGGCTCCATGTTCCCAATGCCCAGAGTGATCTGGGCCATGGCAGAAGATGGCCTGCTCTTCAAATGCTTGGCTAAAGTCAGCACACGAACCAAAACCCCTCTAATAGCAACAATAACATCAGGTCTTGCGGCAGGTGAGGTCACAAACTAAATTAAACTGGCTGGGGTTACTTTGTTCTGATCCTAGGCGACTCTTGGTACACATGGCCTTAAACACACTAACTCAACTTTAATCAAGTTTGTAAATTTACCAGTACAATGCATGACCGCAGCAACTTGCTGTCAGGGTGTTGGGCTGAAAAATGATGGTGGACTTGTGTGACACCACACTGCACACACATTCTTTCAAGTTATAAATCTGTGCCTCCTCCTCCTCCTTCCTTTTATCCTTGGCTTAGTCTCCTTGGCTCCATGTTTCCACTCCCACGCATTATCTTTGCTATGGCCCGTGATGGTCTGCTCTTCTCATTTCTGGCGCGTGTCAGCGCGAGGAAGACTCCTATCATCTCCACCTTTGTGGCAGGGCTTTTATCTGGTAGGTAGCTGAGATGAAGCCAAAGGCAACAGTGCCCCCTTATGGAAGGAGGATGGTGGCAAGTCGTTCAAGCTTCTAAATAATTAAGCTGAAAAAATACAATGTCTGCATTGCTTTCATGCAATTAATGTTCTTTACGGCTTTTGTAACCTTCATATGGTTCACCTGTGTCTCCTGCAGCGGTGATGGCATTCCTTTTTGACTTGAAGGACCTGGTTGACCTCATGTCTATTGGGACTTTGCTGGCCTACACTCTGGTGGCAGCTTGTGTGCTGGTCCTCAGGTAGCCCTCATCACTTATTTATTAGGCCTTAAGTGTTTTATTTTCTATTTTAATACTGCATACTGGACACTCTGGTCTGACCCGATTTCCCACAATGATATCAACAGACTAGTCTATGATGTCTGGCGAGGATAAATGTAGAAATGGACATAATGAAAATAAAAACATTAAGAGACCACTTAATCATCACAAAGGCAGTTTAACTCAGGCATATTTAAACACTCTGGTTATGAAGAGTGAACCACTGTGAATCCATTTCTCCTGCTTCGGTGCAAATATAAGTGAAGGGACGAGCAATGGAAAGGGAAAAACGAAGACACCCCCCAAAAAGGGAACGGTTTTGCACATGTTTATTATCGAGTATTGCTGTGTCGTTATCACTCATGATTGATTGATTGTAGTCTAGTTTTACTGGTTTTTATGTCAGAAAGAGTTCATGAAAGTGACATGAGGTTAGGGCATCTTCTAGCGGGGCCTGTGCTCACACACTAGTATCGTGCTCGTATGAATACAGGATGACACGACCTCCTCCCACTGTCTCAGAGTCTCTAAAAGCTCGGTAGGAAGCACGTATGGAAGTAGCCTCTGGGGGCCTGAGCTCTGGCAGGGCTCCTGCTGTTCTTCCTAACACAAAGAGCGACAGCCTGGTCGTGCTCTTCTTGTGTAGCAGACCGTCTCCTGGTATCTCTTCCACATACTTAACTATGCTGAGAGACACAGGAATAGGAGGAGCTCAGGAGCACAAACAAAAAGCAAAACTACAGTTTTAGAGCTGTTACATTATGAATTTTACCGTGATGATCAAGTGGTCCCTTATTTTTATTCATTTTATTGTATTTTTTTATTTTTTATTAGAGTCGTGTAATTTTAATTACTCAAATAATTACTCGGGAATTCCTACAGTACTGTACTGAAACGACTGACCTCCACCTTTTCTAAATCGTGTCAGTGGGAATAATAAGAAAAAGAATGCACATTATTTGTATGTCATTGATTTGATAGCTGTTAGGTTATAATAATGATTTAATAATATTTAATGATGAGATTTTATTGTGTGTTGCAACATGAGCCTCTCTGTTCAGTGTTTTTATGACCCGGCCAGTTGTGCTTGCGTGTTAGTTTCAGAGGTGAAAGGTGAAACCATCAGCTAGATGGCACAGTGCAGTCTGAGCAGATTTGTGTGTCTTTAATACTGCTTTTCTGCTCTGCTTTGATGTAGAGAGTAGAGAAAAGCAGGAAAACCAGCTGTCGGCGCATCAGAATGGTGTCTTATCCTAGCATAATGGATTTTTAAATGTGCTACTAATTATAGCTCTGTTGTATGCAGACGTTTGAGTTGTGGGAACAGTGGGATAGGGAGTCTTACACTTTCATTTTTGTAATTTTCTTTTTTTGTCTTGTGAAGGTACCAGCCTTTACAGCCCAGTGCAGCCTATGAGATGGCCAATACTCAGGATGAGTCTGAAATTACATATAGGGATGGGAGTGTTGATATTTTATCGCAACCTGATGATCACTTTACTTTCAAAAAACTTATTAACCCTCCGAACACTGAGCCGTCATCTCTCTCTGGACTCATCGTCAACATCTGCACCAGTATACTTGGTGAGAAACTGGATGGAAGTCCCAGAACTATTCATGTGATTACCGATGCAGCACATCATCTGGTGTCATCGCTTGTTTATTTTGTTTTTTTTCCCCACCAGGTGTTTTGGTGTGTGTCTTCAGTGTTGTAGCTTCTCAGGGAGGGTATGCACGCTGGTCTCTGACTGCCCTCTGTGTTATAGTGGCTATCTGCCTGGTTCTAATCATTATTATATGGAGACAGCCACAGAGCAAAACCAACCTTGCCTTCAAAGTGAGTGTGTGTCCTTTTGCTAAAGGCTTTTCTCATGCTATCTCATACCCACATAGCAGTGTGAGCTTGTCACTTTTAGAAATTAATAATCAATAACACCCAGATCCTCTTTCAAAGTAACTTCCTCCATGTAAAATAAAGAGTTAAATATGAGATATAATATACTAATGTACTATGTGATGTGATTCTAGAGACAGAAAATGCCAGTTTAGATTTTATTGTGAGCAGATATTGAGAAAAAAGCATTTAGGGCTTATTGGGTAATTCCACAATAAGTCTTAATTTCTCACTCAGGAAAAGAATTATGAGAGTTTTGAATTAAAAGTGCTGCACAATTTTTCAATCGAGCGTTAAAAAAATAACACTTAATTTTGTCAGGGATTCTCCTACATTGCCCGTACGTCTAAGATTGCTTTGCAGATTGTAAAATTTGTTTTAAATGCAAAGTTTTAGCCAGTCTTATACCCAATAAATACTCTATCCACAGGTCCCATTGGTGCCACTGGTGCCGATCATTAGCATGTTTGTGAACGTGTACCTGATGATGCAGCTCGACAAAGGAACGTGGTTGCGTTTTGCCATCTGGATGACCATAGGTACTTTAGACCAGCAGTAACAATTAACGTCTCTGCTGTAATTTTATTTTTTTAAACTTGTTTTATTATTGTCCATTAATTCATGTTTCTATGTGAATTGTAGGTTTTGCCATCTACTTTGGCTATGGTATACGCAACAGTGCAGAGGAGGCGTTAGCCAAGTGTGACAATTACGAAGATAGCTGCATAATAAAGGAAGAGGCCATGCAAACAGAGAAGGAAGCCTTCTTACACAATACACAAAACTCTACCCGAGAAGATGAAGATGGTTTCTGAGGAGATAGGAGGGTTTTTTAAAACGTTTATTTAAATAGGGGTACAGGAAAGAAGGTGCAAGTATGTTTCACGGAGCGGTAAGGACAACATAACAAACAAAACAGCCCTTACCTATTGTGAAAATGCCAATCAACTAACTAAATTAGACAAATGAAAAGTTACAAATCTACAATTCGCTAACAACTCAAAGAAAAACGGAGAAAAAAATGTTAAAATTGCATTTGCAGCTGTCCTCTACAAGTTTTCTGTGTCGAGGTTGGCACAGAACAATGTCACAAAGGACCTATCAACACAAGATTATCAATTAAATTGAGCTAACATAAAATCTAACCTAAACATATAACGTATTATCATGCAGTCATGACAATGAGCTTAAAAATCCAAAATGGCCAAAGACCTTGAGTCCCTGCAGACCATGCAAGTGCTCAGTCGTCAGCCAACGACAAGAAAGATGAAAACACGAGGAGCCAGTAGGAAGAAAGAGTCCATAGACCAGGAGCTGGTACAGTATATCCTTTACCCCTTTTTTCCCAAAAAGAATGTAACATCTGTGCTGTGAAATAGCTATTAAGTTTTCTGAAAGACTATCTGCAAGTTCAGGAGACACATGGAGACAGCCAATTGTACTACTAGCCAAAAATGTTGACTACATGATGATTGTAAAAAGCCTAATAAGATTTAATGGCTAATTAGCCAAGTATTTTTAAGCAGTATGAAATTATGTGAAAAGAAGATTATAGTCATATTTTTTTTTTTTATTTTATTGTGCTTTGAAATGGTCAGTTTTACAAAACATAACGGAATCCATCGATTCAAAATGCTTTTGTTTTTACAAAAATATTATCCAACCATAAATGGATCTTCATAAACTTCATTTTGGGTTTTTAACAGTACATTATAATGACCGCACATCAGATTTTCCATGAATGATATCACATATAAAGTTCAGAATGTGTTACTGCTCACCTAGCTTCAAAGTGCTCGAACATTTGTATATGTTGACCGTGTACAAAAAACACAAAACACCGTCTAAGAGACTTGGACGAGGGTGAGAATTTTAATGTACCATCAGTGCCTTTTGTGAGAAAGTTGTTAGCTGAGAAATCCCTTACTTGTAAATTTACCCTTAAGATGCAGTTTTGGGGGTTTAACCAGTGTATCTATTACTGAAAACAATACAAGTCACAGGTTTTTGGATGTCTTGTACATTGAATGTATAGCTCATATGAACTCAACATGGTGCTAAAAGTAGCATTCTCAGTGCATCCATGTGTTTGCAGGTCTTTCTGATTGATGGTACCAACTGCTAATCTTACCAGAGTACCAATGCTATCTGTGGGAAATGTACTTTTTACTCAAAGAAAAAAAGCTGCTTATTTTAATTTAGTTTATATTTTAACCTTTTAAGACCCGAATTCTTCCACAGCATGCATTTTTAATTTATCTTTGATATTTGGGCATATTGGGGCCCGATGAATGTAAAAACAAAGAATTGCCAGATTTTATTTTATTATTTTTACCAAATTTTCATTTCTAAGAAAAATGAGAGCCACAAATGAGGATATTTGTTTAAAATTTCAATAGAACAGTAGCAGTATAATGTCCTCGTAACTGGTTATCAGGCCCTTGTAGAGCAAAATTGAGTATTTTGGTCTAAATAACCCAAAATGTGATGTCCAAATATGTGGACGCCAGGTCCTAGGAGGTTAAAGTGCCTATTCCCCAAATGAATTTTTAAAGATAGGATATTCCTCTATCACGATTTGCCTATGTGTAATACTTTATATATAAAACAAAATGTTTAAACGAAGATTTAAAAAAAAAAATCATATATTTATAACTACATGAAACCCAAGTGGATCCTTTTAACTTTTTAATTCACACATGCCTGAAATACAATCAGTTTGTGATTATTGCACACCTGTAGTTTACATGGTGATATAACACTTCTTTAGTTCACTTTTATTTTGAAATGCCAAAATCTACACTGTATGTTTAGAAACACAAAAATGGTGTAGGTCAAGCAGTAGAGTGTATGTATGCGTGTGTGTGTGCAGATCTTTGACGCAGCTAAAACTGAAGTACAGCAAAGTTTGTATGTCAGCAAAGGTCTGGAAATGCAACTACGTGAAAAATCTCTTCACTCAGTCCGTTTTTAAATGCTAATATATATATTCAGCAGTAAATGGGTGATGGCAATGACACTGTGAGACAATTTATTTCAGCTTATGGTCCTTGTGAGGGAATCTATTAATGAAACCTGAAGCCAAAATCCATTGGATTTAACTTGATCATGCGTCAGAATAATTTCTGTAGTTTTTTAATAGTTCCTATAGATTATTTTTGCTGGAGTGGTATAACAATTTTTAAACCCTTACCTTGTAAATAAATGTTTGTGCTCCAGAATGTAACCAGGCATTGTTTACCTGGCTGTTTCTAAATCAGTAAGATATCAGCACATGTTATTTTGAAACGATGCATTAATTTTAAAATGTAGAAAACATTTTAACGCTGCCTTTGTAAATAATTTTTTGATGATACTTGAGTTACTGACTGTATGCAATGTTTATGGGAGTGCTGTACTTGCTGTGGTTACATGTCAAAAGGTCACATCATGCTTCATTCGTGCTTTGCATGCTGCATAAATGCATTTTATAGTGTTGATATGTGATAATGTTCAGTGTACTGTGGGGGGGGAAGGCACACTGTTCACTATATGTTGTTGTCATATTGGTTATGGTTTGTATAGTTCTCGATGTAAATAAATAATCCTGAAAGCTAAAGCTGACTTTGATTTATTTCACATAAACACCTCCCGCTGTATAGATGGTTTAGAGAATCGACATTAATTCATTAGTTTCTTCTACTGTTACCTTTACTACTTCAAGTACAGTAATCAGAAAGATTGGAGCCAAAGAAAAATCTAAATTCCTTCAGTTTATTCTGCAGACAAACTGTTTTTAGTGTTTAACACTGTAATTAATTCATAAGACTACTGCCAAATGTAAAATGCTATAGTTACCCTAAAATTAACTGTACGTTTCTGTAATGTTTAATCCAGTAATATGAGTAAGCTGTGTAATCAAAATGATCTTTGAATATAATTACTGTTATCTTTTTTTTTTTAATCGACTGTTTTACAAAAACAATAAATAAAGCACATGATTTTTTTTTTTTTGATTGAGGACCGATTACACTCATTTTAATTTGTTTGTATGGTTCGCCTAATAACCATTTAGCCAGACGGTCTAATAAATCTGTTAAGCACTATATTAGTCTGTGTTGCTCTTTCTCTATTCTTTGAGCTGCTCTCTTTAGAGGCCTCCACACATCTGCCGCCCCGTCTCCACCTTCCTCTGTCATGAACCCTTTGCAATGTCCTCCTTCTTTTCATGTGGCAGCTCCATGTCAACATCCTTTCAGTTGATCCACTCTCTCTCCTGCACATGCCCGAACCATTTTGCCTTCTAACTTTGTCTCCAAACTGCTCGACTTGAGCGGTCCCTCTGATATATTAATTTCTGAAATTGCACCTCGTGGTCACTCTCAGTGAAAATCTCCCATCTTCCACCTCCGTCTCCACCCCGTCTTTGTGTCAGTGCCACTTTCTCCAAACCAAAGATCACGGCAGGACTCAGCACCTTGTAAACCTTCCCTTTCACTCGTGCAGATATCCTGTGATCGTATCCTGCACTCACTTGTTCCTCTTCTCATGTGCACTCACTTTTGCTTTGGATGATTGACCCCAGCTTTTTAAACTCCTCCATCTCCACTTCCTTTACTCCTTACATCTTCACCTTCCCATCTGCCCCGCTCTCATTCACGCATGTACTGCGTGTCGCTCTGTAGTGGGGAAGAAATGTCCTGTCTTCACCTGCAGGGGGCGACCCGAGTCCATTTTGTTCAATCTCCTCTCGTCTCCTCTCCTCCCTGTTTTCCAGCGATGATGCAGACTGTACCCTCTTCATCTCGGCTTAAACTGGATGTCTCAATCATTCTTCATCAGCTCTTCGCTGACGGGCTCTTCTCCAGATTCACCTGAATTAAACCGGTAAGAAATTTCATTTCACAAGGGGAACAGAAGGCGTTTGCTGTCTCCCTCTCAATCTCCGAACAGCGGCAGTGATAACTGCATTTATTGACCCTGCTGCATCTACTCGAGACTGCGGATGATCCTGTTGTGTTTCTAATAAGGTTGTTTTCAAGTCATTTCCTAATCGTTTCCAGGAGTGCAGATTCTAATATAGCGTTTGCATACCAAGCTTTGAAAAGGTAACCTCAGTACAATTGCTCTCACCTCAAAATGTGTATGTGGAGTCACACCATGTTTTATTTATTGTGTCACCCACATCTTATGTTTTTTGTCTTTTCTAAAATCAGCAAAGCCGGTCCTTCCTCTTTCTGTATTTTTCCCTCTGAACAAAAATAGTTTCCTAGTGTGAGGAACAAGGTACCCAGAGCAGCATGAATGTGCATTAGTAATAGTGAAGTAACAGATTTCTGTTGGTGTGGCTTGAGTGGTGACATTTATTGAAAAGGCCTGAGTTGTACTGGATTATGTAAGATGTGACCATAAAATGATGAGGGCCAGTGGGCAGCATGCACAGCCAGTAAGGCCTCGATCGTCTCACCGGAAGCCTGGAGATTTTATAAACTGAACATAAAAGGTGCTGTTACTACATATTTGTTCATTTATGTAAGAAGCATTTGAATTAGCTTCCAAATGATAGAATTTTGTGGGTTTTTGCTGCCTGTGAAGCATTCATTTGTAGTTTTTCAAGGCAAACCGTTGCCATGTGTATGAAAAAGCAAATCTTATGTGAGCTTTAGGTGGTTGCACAAAGAAGTCAGGGGCACTGAAGCATTAAATTGAGAGGGAGACTGCTGCCTCCATTTTCACTCATCTTCAATTTTTCATGAGGGATCTAGATTAAGCATCAAGTGAGGCTTGGTAAACAAATGAAGGCCCACATCTGTGAGGACCAGCAAGCAGCTGCATTAGACAGCTGACACAAAACAGAAGCTGACACAGCTTCTATTTCACAGAGCAAAACAAGCTGTGCGGGCACATCTTCACATAAGTACTCCTGCGAGGCTTGGATGCACAGATTTTCTCAGTGGCCTTGGCAAAGGTGTTGCCTGAATATGAGCAGGCAGGTGGCAGGGCAGCCAGCTGAATGATGGGAGATGGGGGAAGCATTTTAGTGCTACAACTATAAATTTCCCTGTTCTCTCTTGTACTGTTATGATGTCTGACTGACTGCCCGAGTGTTGAATAGTACTATAAGTGATACCAGGAAACGGAACAGGAAGGAAGTGGCAAATGTCCTTCAAACCCAGAAAACTTGTGAATAGAATGAAGCTGAATGAGAGACATAAAGAAGAAAGTTAGTTCATGTATGAAATCAGAAGATTTTACAGTACGTCTCTTGTAACTGGATCTAATCATTTTCAAATGACCTGAACAAAGCAAACTTGAGCTCTAAAGGATTCTGGTGTTTCTTGTAAATCCAACCATTCCTTTTACTTTCACTTACCAAAGTCAGGTCACAGTTGCAGCACACACTTGTCTCTCCATTTCCTTTTCTTTCTGGGGGATTGTGCATAAGCCTCACCAATCAGTTTGTCCATTTCCAGCTCCAGTTTGCCATCACTTGTTAACAACATCCTGAAATACTTACTGACACATTACTGCTGTTCCCATTCCCAACTCCCTCCTCACACTGGCTGCATTTTCAGTGCTGGTCCATAAATATCACAAACAGGAATGAAGACAAGAAGCAAACTTGACAGCGTCTAACCCTTGCTAAAACGATGTTGGGCCTTGTGTTTTGAATACAGTCACAGCTATTGCTTTACTTATAAAAGAATTGGATGGCTCATAGATACAAACCTTATAGTCTGCACTGCTGCAAAAGACAACAGGGTTCTCCAAACACATTTGAATACCTTCTCTAACTCTATAATTCTATACAAACATGTGTAAACTTGACGTAAAACGAAGAATTGAAAGTCTAACTCTGTAGCCTTCCTGAACTTCTCCTAAATTTTTTGCTTTAGCAAATGCCAAAGCAACAGCCGGTCTCCTCTCCCAATATCTGTCTCTGTTTTTAATGCACCCCTGGATCAGGTAATCCTGAAAGGCCTCCTTCTTCCACATGATGCCCTCCTTTTGTACTTATATCTTAACAGCAAGTTCTTAGGTTGTTGAACCTTTAACTGCCAGGCCTTGAACACGGCCTACCCAGATTTAATGTCCCTAGCCAGGTGACTGTCTTGTTCCCCAAGCAGAATCCAGAAACTGGTCTCTAAGCTCGGTAGCAGGTAAAGGTAATGTGCAGTTGACCCCAAACCCATACCTGGTAGTGTTACCCACTGGGTTACCCACTGGGTAACACTTAAATGTGTTTTTTGTGGGCTGTTAAACTCCACTCCCAGGTCTGGCTAGAGGATGAAGGCCCATTTCTCCTTTCTTTTTATAAATGCCATTTATGATTCTTTACACCTAAAATTTCCATTTACACAAGTTATCACTCCCAACATAACTTTGATCTATGATATTTCACTACTTTCTAGATCAAATATTAACAAATGCAGTTATATAAAACTCAACAAATGCACCATATCCATCATGTCACTGCTGTGCAGATAACTGTACCATAGTGTCCATGCTGAGGTCTGCACTTAACCGATTTAGAGCTGGAAATCAATTTAAGGATGATGGCTGCAGCAGAAACAGTTGTGTTAGCAGGTTGAGCCTTTCTCTTAAAAACAATATTTTATAGCACTTGTCTGGAAATATTCGACAAGGAAAAACATTTGTTAGTAGCACCAGTGTTTTGTCTGCCTGCACTGAGAGATTTTGTGTCTCAGTGTGGTTTAACAGTAAGCACTGCAGTAGATGCAGGTGTGCTGTCTCTGTTGTGCAGAGGCAGCATTTAGTGCGATGTTTTAGCTTATGTTGCAAACGGGCACTTCTGTCTGTAGACCCTCTCTGCTTTTCTTGTCAAGTTTACAAAAGTTGACTTGTTCTAAGCATACATCAAACTCTAATAACAGGCAACAGCACAGTTTTGTTTTCTTAGAAGGGAAATGACATGCTATTTCCTGCTGCGTAAGTGAATTTATTAGGACACAAATGCAGAGCAAATGCCTGAGATGGAGCAGCAGGCAGTCAGTTTTCTTCCTAGTAGGTTTTTTTTCTTTAATTGGAAATTTTCTTGGAATTTAATTTTTTGTGCTAGAGGAACTTGTCAACCACAACTGGATAATGGGAAAGGCATGATGAGGTGATAACAGCATGTGCAATTTCTCTGCAAAAAAAAGAGTTGTTGCTTAAGATCAAAGGGCCTGTCAGTGCTCTCTGTCCTTTCCAAAGGGTCCACACAGAACATTTCATTCACATTTCTCATATTGGATTAGTAGAAACTCTCTGAGCAATTATGGTACCTGCTGGCTGACTAAAATTGCAGGGCAATTAAAGGAAGTGGCATAGCTCTTAATCTGAGCATGCAGGTGGCAGGGCAGCCAGCTGAATGATGGGAGATGAGGGAAGCAGATTTTGCAGAACTTCCAGATTTTGGTAACATATCAACAAACTTAAAATTCATGTTGACAGTTTAAAGCTCTTCGAAATACAAAGTTTACATATAGATCTCCCTTAATGAAGGAAAGGGTTAAATATCATGAAGGCTGAAATATTGTATTTATTTATTTGTCTATTTTTGTCAGCCTTAAATAAAATCATACGTCAAGCAGCCTATTAAATGATTTTAGAAGTGCAGAAGCAGACAGTTGGGTCACGAGAACTTGTAAAAGCCTCAGTAGTACTTGGCAGTTTAGAGGTGGCCCATCATAAACACTGTAAAAGTTGTGGAGGTAAAAAGTCCACAGTCACTCAACTGATTGGACAAAATAGAGGTTCTTGGATGTCTTTTGTTTTTGTTTTTTTGTTGTTGCAAGCAATAGATGGTGCAGAAAAGGGATAACAGAAATAATGTGTATTTTTTAATGCAAGTATATCAAAAGTATTCACAAAAGACAATCTCAGTAACTCAAGGCACATGGATAATCAGAAACATAAAATATAAGAAAACAATTCCATTATGAAGGTCAAATGTAGCACCGTCACTGTCATGCTGGTTTGCATCTGACTGTCATAAAGACAGAACAATAATGATAGTGTCCATAAACAAGAGACCGTGTCATTTTATTTTCCCTCCAAAGGCAGAATTTGCTTTTTTTGTCAGTGTACTTAAGCTTGTCTGGTTGTTATTTTTCCCCCCGGATAGTTCACTGTGGCTGGAAGATAGTCATTCCTTTTTTCCCTTGTCCCTAATTGTATTTTAAACTTAGCAGTCTCTAGTTAGATCAGGGAGTTATATAATTCAATACAAGTAATTTTTTTAGGCTAATATTTTCTGTTTGTACCTTCTTCTCTGTAGATCTTGTTTAACCACAAAGTTGTTCCCACCTGTAACATATATTCCAAGCAGCATATTATCTTGTCTGCTGAATTCACTCACATTCCTAAAGCTAGAGAGAGACCGGTTGCCAGCTAATTCACTAATGTCATTTTTTTAAGAGTCAGATTTGTGAATACTGCTCTTCACAAGAGTGCTGCAAAAAATTCTGGGCCCTTGATGATATTTCAGTCAGAAACAAAATAAACAAGATGTTTGGCATGTTTAACATTTAAGAATAAAGGCAGAAAAGATTCATGGTTTTCACCACTGTAGGTTTTTGCAATCCTGGGAGCCCAACAGGCCTGAGTTTATCCCACACTGGGCCTGAGGATTTTCTTACAAAAGCTGTAACCAATAAGTTATCATATGACCTCAGCTGTTTCATATACAGAAACACCCATTAAGGTTTTTTGAGCTACAAAGAAGTGTAAAAAAAAGAAAAAAGAGGCCAGAAAAAAATTATACATTAATATTGTTTATGCTGGCTAAATCACTCGTTGCTGTGTTTGTAAGAGGTTAACTGTGATTTCTCCTGCTGGTCTAGCCTACATTACCTTCGGTGCATCTACACATCTTTCACTGCCCCCACAAAAAAACTCACTTTATTTCATGGTTTTATGATGAAACAGACTGAAAGATTTAAATTATTATAAGATGGCACAGTTTTTTAAATATACCTGTTGAATATTGTTTTTAAGTCATCTTCAATATATTTTCTTTACTTGTGATCTGCTGTTTTTATGCAGGATAAGGACCTCAGATGTTATGAAGACCCATGCTCCAAATTAGACATGACATTCAACATCCACATTTCTGACATACTGAAAATAGGCTCCTGCTCTGCCAGTAGGACAGCTTGATGGGCAGACAGACTTTTTGATGCTTGACGATGATGATGATTTATTTTAAGTGCTCTTGAGGCTGCCACAAACTCAGAGCTGATTTCATAATGTGTGAGCGAGAAGAGCCCTTTGGTGTGGGGGAGTTAAGGAATAACAACCAGCAGGGTGGCATGCTGGCTGATGGCGACGCCAATGCCAATGACATTCGGACAGAAGATGGTGGGAGAACTGGGGATACTGGCTGTCTGTCAGGATTGATAACTGTAACAGCAGAGCAAGACAAAGTCATCATCTGGGGCACAGACTCTCAGTGTGATGACCCTGAGCTGGCTGAATTTGAGATGTTAGAGTGTCAGGAGTTGGAGGCTTATCTTGTTGAGGAGGAAGAGGACTTTGTTGGGCTTGCAGAGCGGAAGGAGCTTCAAGAACAGCCGTCATCATGCAGAAAATCCACAGCAGAAGAGGCGATAGATTATAAGGGCAGGGAAGAAAGGAAGTCAATTCTGAACGGTGCCAGTGAGCAAGAATCCAATGGCTCTCATGTCTCTGAGAGCAGAGAAGCTTCCAAGACTGACTTAAGCTCTGAAACTGATGTCTTTGTATCCTGTCTGTCCACCATTTCAAGCATGGCCACTGCCATGGACACTGTTGGCAAGAACCAGGTGACAGACTCCTGGCATATTGCCTCTGGTCCTCATTCAACCATCTCAGAGGACCTAACTTCCCAGATTTGCACCACTATCTCTGAGAGAGGCAAGGCCTCTCAAATAGTTGATGATTCTTCTCTTTCTGCTAGAAAAAGCACAATAACCCAGAAAGATGTAGATATGAATTTGAATTCAGCAGTTCAGTCAGATGATGCTGTATCACAGGCACATGATGTCAGTGGCAAACCCGGGACAAATAATAACCATAGAAATAAAGCAAAGGGTAGTGTTTTGGAGGTAAATTGTACTGAGAACAAGGCTTTAACCTCTCTGACAAAATGTCAAAAAGAAAGCAACGCTAAAATAGATAAAAGCACACAAGCGGATGAGACCCCTGATGTGAACTACAGGGCTCTCAGAACAGGTACAAAGGGGACTCAGTCATGTGTTGAACCTAAAGCCATAAAGAAACAAGACTCATTTGATAACACACTGAAGAAACAAAGCTCTTTTGATAAGAGTCTGAAAAAGCAGCCTTCATTTGAGAATTCTTTAAAGAAGCAGCTCTCTTTTGATAACACCTTAAAAAAGCAGGGCTCCTTTGAGAACACCACCACTCCCAGCTCTTCAAGTCTGGAAAGGAGGAAGCCATGGGGAAGCCCCAGTCGACCAGCAACTCCTACATCCCCTAAAACCACCTCCTCTTCGTCACCTAAGAGACGACCTAGTGGTTCTCCAGCTAAGGTCCAGGGCATCAGGGCACCGAGCCTGGAGCGCAGTGACTCCTCTCAAAGAGGAATAAGTCAAACTATCAAACCACATGCTAAGACGAGTTTGAGCAGTGGAATCCCCAAACCTATCATGCCTCAACAGAAGGAGTCCGAACCCAGGAGATCTTCGCCCCCTCAGAAGCCCAAAAACGTGCGGCCAAAAATCATCACGTATGTTCGAAAGAATACTCAAGCAAAACCACCACTCACCGATGCACTAAATGAAGCCTCCACACACACATCAAGATTACCCTCTTACTCCAACCCACCAGCTCTCAAAGATCCAAAGGTTGCTTCTCAAACTAAATCCACACCAGTGCTCTGTTCCTCAAACCTGCTATTTGACAAATATCGACAGGAGATGCAGAAGACAGGATACTATCCTCCAGGTGTCGCTGTGACTGGAGTAAAACCTCCAAGCAGCACTATCCCTCAAAGGAGTGGAAAGTCAGACAACTTCCAGGAGGCATCAGAGAAATATCTTCAAGAGGTGAGAAGCGGACTTTTGTTTTGATATGTTCACACAACTCAGCTTATGGTGTGGTACAAGTATTCCAATTTAGCATGATGGTGGCTCAACCTGAAAGCATTTTTAACCCTTTAATTGTTCGTGCAGATTGGTCAGTTTCAGCTACACTGCACATGCTGTGTTTTAGATTATTTTGGTCACGTACTGGCTCACATTGCACCACAAACAGTAACAGAGTGGTAATAGATTAGATGTATTATCACACAAAACCAAAGTGCTTAACTTAATAATACATGAATCAAACCTATCACATGATACCTTGCTGTCCATCAGTCTAGAATGTGAATGATGTTATAGTAACTGGTTTTGTTGGTGATGTCCTTCAGCAGCATGTTTCCCCTGAAGGAGGTAGTGTCTACCGCTCGCCAAGAACCCTGAGGCCTCAGCTTGGGCTAGGTGCAGTCACCAGGCAGCCTGCAGCCAAGCCAAGAGTTCAGCAGGCAGGTCAAAGGTCAGGTCCCTCACACTATCTGGCTGCCAAAGTGTCCACTCCAGGCCAACAAGATCTGGCAGGTGAGATTGTAACGTTTTGGCAAATTGACTCAAAAGTGAACTGAAATGTTAGTTGCATTTTTAGTATCAGAGACAGCTGCATTTTCAAAGGTTGTTTTGGGAATGTTTAAAAGTTTAACACAAGATGTATTTGTGTATGCTTACGTTAAAAAACCCTGTGTGGTTAGATGATTAGGTCAAATCTTGGGAAATCATTTCAACAGATTTCTCTTATCTCTCTCTACCTACTTTAGTATTCTCTGCACTCTCCCATCCCGTAGATGTCGAGCTGTAGAGTTATTTATTCAACAAGCTTCTTGGGCTTGCTGAATGATTCACCTAATTTTTTTCCTGTCATGCTTATGGATGAGCCTTGGCTTTTGGCACCTCAACTCTTTGAAGTGCAAAGCATTTGAAGTTAGTGTAACTTGCACTTGCTACCAGCTCGCACTGCATAATTTTGCCTTCTTACATTATAAATGATACTCTTGGCTGGTTGCACATATGCTGCTTTCTTATTTATGTGGAATTTAGTCATTGAATAATGTTTATATATCTATATATATGTAATCTTCCTCTTTTATTTATTCATTTTATTTCAGTATAAACTAAATCAGGTTTTTAAAGTTTTTTTTTTCTTGTTTTTTTACTTGTTTTTCTACCTTTAGGAGAGCCCAGGAGGGCAGGTCCAGAAACCACCCCAAAAAGCCTCCTGCTCAAATCAGGCCAGTCTGGCCTTCGTCCTCCAGGCTTCTCTGCCCTTCCAGCTGCCCGTCTGGCTTCTCTAGGATTTGTCCGGAGCTCCAGTGTCTCATCTGTATCCAGCAACCAGTCTAATGAAAGCACCCACAGTGACCCAGGCCGAGGTTCTCAGTGTGAGTTATGTCCACTCAACTCATTTTTTCTGCCTAAATAAAAGGTTACCCCACACCAATGTTTTACTACATCTGCATCTCCTTATTAGTTCACCGGCAGGTGTGGCTGGTCTATCCTCAGTTACTATAGTAACAGCTGCTCATTTTGTTTCATTTTCAATCATTTGTCAGAATTCTGCATTTCTAAGCCGCTGCAGCACAGAGCCTCAGAGAAGAAAGGATTTCTTTAGGAAGAAAGTTACTCTCTCTCCCTCTGCTGCCTGTGCTCAGCCTGCATACTGCAGAATTCCCAATGCATATTTCAGTACCATCACTGAAATATTCCCCAGTCTTCATCTGCATAAAGGAATGACAGCAAAATTCACCTGGCAATGTAATTATCTCTGTGTGTGAACGAGATGTCAGCAAAGTGTCAGGAAAGAAAGTGTCGGTTAACAAGACATTGTTTTATTACCAAAAACGGTTTTGCTAAATATGAGCAGGCCATGTGTGTTGTCTGCTGATTCAGAGACGTGACACAAACTGACCATTGTTTGGAAAATGTTTAGATATATGGTTATGGTCTGGGTGTAAAACCAAAGCAAATAATGCAATAGCAGCCATTGAAAGTGATTCACTAAAAGTAGTGATAAGTACTGATTCTTCTATTTTAAATACAATGATTTTATTTTCTTTGTAATAATGTAGGGCAGGGGTGTCCCACTCCAGGCCTCAAGGGCCGGTGTCCTGCAGGTTTTAGATGTGTCCTCAATCCAACACAGCTGATTTAAATTGTTAAATTGCCTCCTCAACGTCTCTTGAAGTTCTCCAGAGGCCTAGTAATGAACTAATCATTTGATTCAGGTGTGCTGACCCAGGGTGATATCTAAAGCATGCAGTACACCGGCCCTTGAAGCCTGAAGTTGGGCACCCCTGATGTAGGGTCTTTACCTTACAATATAAACTGCCTCTGGAGAAGCTGGAACCAATAGCATCCAGTTTCATAAAGGCTACCCCAGAAACCTGAAACACTGAAAAGAAACACATAAGCAACAAAGCTACAGCTTAATACAGACCAGTCATGGTAAAAATAATAGTAACAGAAAATATAAAGAATATCAGAGAAAGCGGCTCTTTAAGACAAGCTTGCAAACTTCTCTGGTAAATTTAATTTAAACTGATAGACATCAGAAGTAATAAGATTTCGCACTCTGGGAAGGTCATTAATTTTTTATTCATTTTTATCTATTGTATGAGTTTAATCATGCAATGATGCTCATTGTCATAATTACAGGTTAATGTTGTCCTTTGCTTAAACATCACTACATTTATTCCAGTCTTTGACAGCTGAATCCTGCCTGTCCTTAGAAATAGTAGCAATAGTACTCTTAATTAGTTGGTGTATACAGTACCACTGATTCTCAAGAAAACAACAACAGTTCTACTCAACATTAATATGAGGATGCCCAACTTGACTGCCAGTGGCTCTGTAATCTTTTTAGATATGTAAACTGAAGCAGATTTGTGTACATTTTAACAAATTCAGTATCTGCCAGATTGTAAAATGCTTGGAAGCAGCTCAGATGGCATACACAACTGTCTGCTTGCACCGCAGTGTTTCCCTTTAGGCTGTTGGCTCAGATTGCACCACGCTATAACCATAAGCCTCAAATGCAGCTACAAGCAGGAACAAGCAGCTCCTTGTCATCATGATGCTCAGGTCTGGTGAAATAATTAATTCACTGGTGTAGTTCAATCAGGAGGAACGTATTACACAGTATGCTGACTGTAAAGTAACACAGTCCTTTCTTCTCATTTTTCTGTCACCATTTCTTCATCACTGCCACATGGCCCAGAGGCACATTTGTTCTGAATGTTATTAGCTTGTCTATTCTCGCTGCTTGCGAGTTAGTCACAAGCAGAGTCCTCATTGGTGCTGATCAGAGGATTCTTACTACAGGGGGTGGATTTGTATTGTACATGCACGCTAGAAACAAGCATTTAGCAGTGTGAGTCAGCCTTCGGCCGTCTCCTTTAGCCAATCCCTTTCTTGGCTTCGTCTCCATTTCAGTAGGTCACCTTTGGGAAAAGGAAAAAAAAAAGAAAGGAAAAAAATCTGCTGACTCTCCCTGGTGTATTCATGCTGCTGCTTTGGAAAGCATCACTAGATGTGTTGCACAGAGCCTTGGCATTTTTACATCAAAAGTGATTTAATGTTCTCCTTTAATCTGTTTTTATGCTATACTGTCCTTTGTATCAATAAAATGTGCTTATATATATATATACACACACACACACACACACACACGTATGTATCACAACAGCTTAACGTTTTTTGAATGTCTGCAGCCTCCTTGGGTCACAATTTGACATTATTAGATCAGAGTGATGGTATTTTAATTCAAGGGCACAAAGCTATCCTTTCCTTTTCAAAAGTGTTATATTACCAATAGTTAGAGTTTGTGTCAGCACTACCATTGACTGAGCTGCTGAATATTTTATGATTAGTGATTAGAGCTCTCTGGTTTGACTCTTCACTTATAACGACGAAGTAAATTCCATCATTTATGCACTGATGGAATTTTTTTGACTATTATAAAGTTAAAGGTTTATATCTGAGAAATGCATACAGTATACAGCATGCAAAAATATGTAAAAACTATCATAATTTCATTGTGATTATTTGGAGGATGTTTCAGCTGCACTGTTCCTCAGCTTTTCATTTCCATAAAAGCTAGAGGCATAACAGCAGCTCTTATGAATAATTACTATGTTTACAGCACCCTGTTTTTTGCGAATCTTGATGAGAGTGTGCAATTTACCAGAAAAAACAAAACAAAGCAAAAAAGAACCAAAACTCCATTAGGAAAGAGTGTAATGATCTGAAACGTGCATGAAATTGACAGTTAAAAGCTTTAATGCCATCATTACACAGTTTTTCATTTTCAAATGGCGCTGAGAATTCCCTCAGTATTACTAAACCAAATCAAATCTTTTGTGTTAAGAAACAAGAACATCATTTACTATAGGCCATGGCTGGCTCTATGCCTATTAGTTTGCATAGTCAGGTATTTCCCAAAATTGTTGGGATTGATATGTCATACCTGCAAAATATGAATAATTCAGTTTTTGTAGTCAACGTCAAAATATCTACGTTGGCCAAGGTGAAATATTTGATAGCTATCTTGGCCATTTCCTTAGAATCTAATGTTTTTTCTTTCTTTTTCGTCATTAGATATGCAACATAATTCTTAGCACAACTAGAAGTTATTAAAATCCAGGTAAAGACAACCTTTTAAATGCTATAACTTGTTTTGTCCATGGTGACTTGCTTGCTTTTATACAATATAGTAGACATTATATTGGGTTGAGTTTTCTTTTTAAAACTGTGATATAACCCACTGAGTAATGCTCAAAGTTATAGGGAGAAAAATAGGTAAAAAAGTAGAAACGAATTTGTGTGGTGGCAGCGTTTAAAGTTTATTTTAGTAAGAGGGTTCAGAAAATGCTGGAAAAATATGGCGACCTGAAGAGCACCAAATTTCAAACATCTTGAAATTTTCATAGAATGAAGGGAAATTTTTGCATGCATTACTTAAATATGAGGAAATTGTCTACAAAATCTACAAATCAAATTCACTAATCCTGTGGCGGTCAGGTGAGACTCACTCACTGATATTCTTAGGAAATGGCCCAGAGTCAGCGCTAGAGCGAGCACACTGACTGCCTTACATAGGCTTAATCACATTCGGGAGGTGAGAAAATTGCAGCTTTTAAATAAAAACATATTTCGTACGTGTATAAATAGCAACATTGTGTGATTTTTGCCACAGTCCCTGAGCATGTTTTTCTTTTCTGATGTAGATCCCAGCAGTGGCAGCGATGACACACCTCAACATAAAGCCACAGCACCATACAGAGAAGCCTCCCCTGCTCATAGCTGCCCTCACCCTCCTAATGCCCCCAGCCTCCAGCGGCGCAATCTGCCACCACGGCACTGCTCCCCACTAGGTACAGCACTCTTGCACAAAGCCAGAGGAACCAAACGATTGTGCTCAAGTTGTGTATGTGTGATTGAAATTCACGTTTGATTTCATTCCTCAGTATAAGCCCCACCTATTCCCACAAAGCTGCTTAGAGAAATGTCTGAGTTTTAAAAGTTATTGTGGAGTTTTAAGTAAAAGCAGGAAGACAGAACAGTTTGTCTGTGACGATTTGAGCTACAGTCCTGTACATGGGCAAGAAGTTGAGCTAGAAACAATAAACACAGCTGTGTTTTTTGTACTCAAGCAATGATTTTTCTTTTGCAATGTTGCTAATTATGATTGTAGTTGAGAGCATAATGACTACGATTGAGTGTTTACTCATTCATTTGCTTTTATTGTCCATTGTTCAGCTCAGTTTGCTTATCAAGCTTCTGATTTAGGACTAAAATGAGTAGAAAATGATAAATAGTATTTAGGATTACTTATTCATGTGCTGTGTTTCCAAACTGTTGCCTAGCATTGCATCACAGCAGGGATACAGTATCATACAGTAGCCTATACTCCCCCTCTGCTCTTGTGGGCGTCTTTATTGTTAGCTAATGCACAGTGGTGCTAATGGTAGCGTCTTTGCAGTGAATGTGGAGCATCAGCGCCATCCTGTGGCGACAGTTTGTATTTCTGGGTGAACCACCAGTCGCCCCATCTTTCCACAACAGAAACTGTGTCAACAAGTGAAGCAGTAACTCCAGCTAGTGGTCACTGTCCTACAGTGATCGCTGAGTCTTTATTTCAGCCATTTTTTATGCTTTCAGTTATTCACTGATTTGATTAATTATAAGGAAAAAACAGAACAAAGTTGTTGTTTGTTTTTACTACCAGTTTCCATGCCTAGGCATTAAATCTGTTTTTCCCAGGAACTCTGTTGGAGGGATGAACAATATTCTACAAAAAAAAATCCCTTTATATTGAGGGTTTCATTTGATCAGTCTGCGCATGTGTACCATATTTTATTCAATATAAAAAAGTGGTGTTATTTTATAATGTTATTGTTTTGTGCCAAAGTTTTGTCTGTAGTAAAAAAACAGAAGTAGTGTAGCAGAAGTACAGGTTAACCAATATTTAGGCAAATACTTCCTATGAGATAAAACAAACAACAAAAATGTCTGTCTTATGTTTTAATTCTGTGTATTACAAAGAAAATAACACCTTTTTTGTTACACAGTGACTAGGAGAGATTTACAGAAGGACGCAGAGGCTGAGCTGTCACCAAAGTCCTCCCCTAAAAGACTTGCAGTGGTTTCTCCCAAGCCACAATCCCCTGGTGAGTCAGCCCTGTCACACCGCATACATTTAAACACAAACTATAGACACATAAGGTGTGCTTAACGTACCATGATGTGCTCAACATACCATGATGTCTCTTTGGTTTTTTTCCTAACTGGTAAAAAGAAGGGTGTTTTGTTCAGGACCATCAGCTGCTACTGTATCTTTAAAATTTGCAGTGACTTTTTCATTCCGTGTCGCTCTTGCTCTCTCGCCGCACTTCATCCCAGACTTTACCCATAGCACCATGATGTTGCCATAGCAACAAAGCACGGTAGCTCTAATGCTAGGATGGCTCCTTCAGGAGCAGTACTGCTGGCTCAGATTACAGCAGCACAAATCAGCAACTTCTGCTTTTCTCAGAGACCAAACAGGCCAAACAGTGCAGGTGATAAGGGTTTTCATACTGCACATATAATATACTTTTACACCAGCATCCACATAAATTGACTTGTTTGTTTTGTTTGTCTATATATTTCTATTTCTATAATAAGTCTGAGGAAAAGTACATCAACATACTATATTCTTCTGCCTGTTTTGCGTATCTGCAGTTCGTGGTCGGACAACAGCAGTTCATGGAGCCATTCAGACCGAAAAGGCACAGGAGGTGGATCGCGCTCATATCCAGCAGCTGCGGGAGCGATGTGAGCGGCAGGCCCTGCAGCTACAGACTCTGCAGGCTCAGTTAAAGAAAGCCTCGCTGTGCCTGGATGTTTTCAGCATCACTGCCCAGCACTTCTGTCACAAGGTAAGATTTAGCAGAGTTCTGCAATCCCGGCAAGGTCGACCGCAGACTTTGAAAGCCGAGTAAGAGTGCAGTGTTCCAATTCTTTCACTCTTAATCCTAAAATAGGACTACGTGTGTATGACACATGTGATTTTAATGCTGTGACTTTATTTCATTCTCGTTAAACCTCCTCCTGGGGTAAAAGAGAAAATATACAACGTCATCATTATCAAAAGGCAACATAAATAAAAATATTTGTCAACAAATCACCCATGTCCAACTACATGTGTCCAGATGTCTGTATAAAATTTAGCACTTTTACACTGTATAACAATATCCTTAATATTAAATATTACGCCATCCTAATAACATTTGGTCTCGACCTAAAATACACAGGCAGATATTTTTTGTCTTTGCAAATTAAAATTACTGCATTAATAATTGAAGCTAAACCAGTATTTGATGTATTTGAGGAATTTGATGTTTTCTTGCATAAAAATGTTGGAGTTTTAGTTGAGAGTTATGAAAAGAGAGCTTGCTTGTTGCTGCATGACTCTGTAACAGTAACATATCTTGATATGTAGCAGCATTCAAACTATTCTTTTAAAATCACCCTGCAAGTTTGCTTTAATGCGACACAGAACAAGTTCCTCACTAAAGTTGCATCCTTTGCAATATGTTTGTAGATTCATTGTGTTACTGAACGGCAGTGTTTTGTAGGGTTACAGTCAAAAACTGCAATGCAAATGTTGCAGTGAGCTCCAGAATGCGATTACACACTGTGTTGGAGTCATTTGCACAAACCTGTAGCTTCTGTCTTTTGTTGTCAGGATTGCTTTGTTCACAAAGGGAGCCGCTTGCTTTAACCCTCTTGTGACATCTTTTGAATGACTCTAAAGGCAGCCTCTTTTGATAGTTGATAGTGAAATGCTGAGGATTTCCAAAGGTGCTTTTTTCTAGTATAAAGAAAGAGAATGCTTTTGGGATGTGTTGTGGGTTTGTATACATGCAAGTATATTGGCATGCATTTGATAGGGGGGGGTGTGGTGTATCTTGTTGTGTCTGTTCTTCTGGTGCTGCTGCTGGATGGGCGACTCGGTGGAATCGAAACACATTTGATATTTAATATTCTTTTTAATCACTCTTGCTTTTCCTGTATGCTGCTCAGATGAGACTGACAGAGTGTTTTCTGTTCTTTCAGTCTCTATTCAGCACTTGGTTTAACCTTTCCTAGTCCTCTGTTTGCATTTAATATATTTGTCAGCCCCACCCGCTGGTGGTGCTCTACAACCAAAGATTAATGAGATTAGAGCTGCCTGTATGGCCTGCCTCTGCTTTTGGTCAGACTAATTGCAAGACAGAATCCCCTCTAAATTTTAACAGTGGATCTTTCGAAGCATTTCTACCATCTACACACATGGGTGCATAGTCTGTTTTAGGATGCATGACAACATATGCTGATGTGGTTTAATTATGTTGTAATGAGTGCATTGAAGAGGTCACTAGATGGTTAATATTGGGTTAAGCTAGCTGATTTGAAGTGTTTTTGTGCTTACTGAATGAGGTATTTGTGCATATAGATATTTTTGCAGGACAGTTTTTATTCAAAGCAGTG